AATTTTTGTTGTATAAATGAGTTCGTCTTTATTTATTTTTTTCCCTTAGCAATTGAACTTATGCCTAGCTAGACATAAGTTCTTTAAGGGATTAAGACATAACTTTGGAGATATTTTAATACAAAAATATAAAATTATCTCCACAAAAAAGTTATTTGCCTTGAGGCGAAAAATTAAAGACCAATATAAAATAGGGACAAAAGTGCAAATGACCCATTCTAAGGGCCTAAGTTTCAATCAAAAGCCCAATTGGGACAGGAGTGAATTTACTTCTAAGGGCCTTAGAAAAGCCTATTAGGCCCACTAATGGCCCAAAATTAAATAAAAATCCAAAAGTACAATACAAAAACAGAAAAATATTGCAATAAGTAACAAAATCAGATTTTTGAACAAGAATATGTAAAATTAGTGAAATCACAATTTGACGCAATTAATATATTTTAATATTATCCGTGCATCACACAGGTTACAATATAATACTAATAAAATAGAGAAATTAAGGCATTCATAAAGTGGTTAGGCAGTTGAACAAGCCTTTGTAAAATGATTAGTTAGGTGATCAAGGCAGGTAATTTAATTAATTACATGCTTCATTATTTTCAGTATTTTTTTCCTCTACTAAATATGATATAAGCAATTATTGTTGTAGTTGTTTTGACTCTTATAACTTTCCTATCCACTTTATCTTAATTTGTAGCACTTGACATTCAATTTTTGTTTTATTATACTAAAATTACTAAATATTGTTTATTTGGACAATACAAATAGCCCTAAGCAAATTATATAAATTGGGAGTAAATTTTATACATTCAAATATTGTAAGATTCTATTAATATGGTATTTGTAAAGAAAATAAGAGAAAAAAATAAACGAACAATTTGAAGCGTACATAGGCGGAGCTAGGATTTTAATATGTGCACATATTAATGAATTTTTCAACACAAATACATTGTTTGTGCATTAGAAGTTATATTGAGTTCGATTGAACCTGAATCCGTATCTGAACTTCTAACTCCGCCTCTGAAAGCACACACACAATCCTTCTAGAGTTTATCACATTGTGTTGGTACAAATGATAAAGTTTCTTTATCAAGATCATGAATGACCATCATATTTTGTTGTTGAACATTTCCAAATATTGACATTCCACTTGAACTTCCCATAGCTAAACAAGCAATTCCCATTCTTGAATCAGCAATCATATAATTTTCTGCAGGCAAATCCATGTCTGCACCTTCAAAATGAAAAATCAATTTTGGAACTTCTATGTTATTTGTGTTTGATGGCAATTTGAAACAAAGATCTAGTCCTGTTGAGCTTGAATCATCCACCGGAAGGTTTACCTGCACGTTAATTTCACGTATGATCAATGAACTTTATACATTGTAATAACAGTGTTTAGTATGGTCAACTGGTTGTATGAATACTCACTAACCATATATATAAAGACTAGTAAAGTCACAAAACAACTACAACAAATTAAGTTATTGAGTTTTATATATCCACTATTATAGTATAGTCGTTGAATCCTATGCATCAAAATAATATAATATAAAGTCCTAAATTTATGTTATGTCGCATTGAAATCACTAAACTTTACTCACTATAACAATTAAAACCTATTCTAATAAGGCGACCTTACTGTTATAGTGAGTAAAGTTTTCTCTCTTTATTGTATATTTATAATGTGACAAAAATTAGTTTAGTGATCATACGTGAAATTAAGAAGATTACCTGTGAAGAAAACTCTTTCTTGAGAAGACTAAATGCACTTTCTTCTAAGTATGTTATGGTTGTCCCAGAGTCAATTATCATTCCTCCAGAGCCATCTTTGTTGAGTGAAAATGTAGATTTCTTGATGGCCAATTGAGTATCCCCAACAGATATTCCTTTTAATGAAAGATAATAAAAAGATGGTTGTGTTGGGTTTTTCACTAATGAGGTTGTAATAATATTGTTATAATCATCATGTGCCATCGATCCCATGAGAAGCGTGCTACTCTGGCTATAAGCATCCTCATTAATCGAGGTCAAACAGTACGAGAATCTGGACATATGTAGTTGAGAAACTAGTGATAGTGGACCTCGTCCAAGACCTACTAGGCCCGCACCTTGACTAAATCCACTACCTTCATTGTCATTTCCACATCCAAATGCAACATTTGGTATTGAAACTTTACCAAAAGTAAATGTTTCACTAGCCAAAAAACCTTCACTTGATGAATAATCACCATATGTATACATATACTCACAATTATTATCACCACAAGATGACGTTGGCAATGCTTCACAAAGTTTATTAGAACATGAAATTTTTTCAAAAGTTGATGATTTTGATGGATCAAAAATTGGTGTAGATTGATCAAAACACTCTTTACAAGGCTTACATTGAGTCCAAATTAAATCACTACCAGTATCCATTATTGCATTATAAGACTCACTTGGACTACCAATTGATATTTGCATTAGAAACTCACCATTTCCTGCATGAATTGTTGATTTTACATCATTTGTTACATCTTTTGATGATAAAGTTGCAAAATTAGCCACTAGACTTAACCTTTGTAACCTTGATTTCCCTCGTGCCATCGCGCGTTGTAAACGTTCAAATTTTGTGAAATTCCCACCTGAATCAACATGTTTTAAGCTCACTTTGAACCCCTTATGGTTATTGAGAACATGTCTAGATGTTGAACTCACTTGCAAAGCAAATAAGATTGATGATAGAAAAAGAAATAGGATGTAATAGGCAAACTTTGATGAAGCCATATATTTTTTTGGTAATATAAAGATTAAAGAATATGTAACATATATATATGTATCAAACACTCAAAAGGGAGTATATAGTAAAAATAAAATAAAAAATAGGTGCACATCAAAATGGAGAAAAAAAGTTGGGTATTGAAGTGATGAGCAATTTCAACATCAAAAGGAAGGTGAAATATCAACTTAATTAAAAAATTACACCACTAAAATAGTTGTTGGAGATGACAAGAAATAAATGGGAAGTGAGTCATATATATATATATATATATATATATATATATATATATATTTTTAATCCATTTCTATTTGAATTTTATGTAGACAAGGACTTTTATACATATAACAAGCAATGTAGTTATCATTATTCTACACTATCATAATAGGTAGTATACTGTGTAGTAATAATTCTTGAAACTTTTTTAACCTTCCTTTGAAGGAAATTCATATATATTCCAGATTTGAATTTTATAGGTTCGAATCAGCTCATTTGATTTACTGAATTCAAAATCAATTATTTATATTTATTTAAGGTATATATATATATATAATTCAGATGAGTCTATAATTAACACTCTATATCCGCCCTTAGTTGACTGAAGGCCTAGGGTAACATTAGCAAGATAGAGAAATATAAATAGGGTAAGACTATGACCTAAGTAGATTAATTAGGATATATTATGGAAGAATAATTTGTTTTCTCATTTAATAAAAAGTATGTACTTTTTTATTTGGTGACAATAAAATAAAATGTCCTTCTAATGGGTGGATAGGAAAAATAATGTTAGCTAATGTTTCATTCTAAAATATTGTGTTGCCAATTTAGGTGGCACATCTTAAGTAGGTAATTGAAATTAACATCAGACTATTTAACTTACTACCTAGAAAACAAAAGGTTCACTATATTCCATTTTCTATGATAAAAATATTATATTCAGTCTATTAAAAAATAATAGCACATTTTCTTATATTAAAAAATAATTTAGCTTTCAATTTCTCATATTTTCCCCCATGATGACAAGTTTTTATTTCAGAGAATTGTCATCATATGTAAGATTACAAATTTTAAAGTTTTAAACTATGTATCTAATTAAATACCGCCACATAAATTTTAACTAATGAGTATTATTGCTTTCTTTCTTTTTTGCCTTTTTGTCAATTGATGAGATGATCTTAGAAGAGATTAAGTTGGTGGACTAACTCTTTTACTAATGATAATAAAACTTGAAAAAAAAAAAGATGCAGTTGAGGGGTGGGGGGTGTTGTTTACTTGTTTTGTTCTTCAAGCATTGTTGAACTAAAGATTAAAAAGTTATGCCAACATATTGAGTAGGTATGATTATTGAGCATATGTACAAAGACCATTGCTTTTTAGTTTTTTCAATGATACATTTTTACAACTATTGTACACTCAAAGGATAATATATTGTTCTTTTTCATTATCTGAGTTGTTTCAAGTTTTTTTTTTTGTTTTGTTTTCTTACCCCTTCGTAGAAATTCCCACCTTTTTGCTCTATTCATAACTCGAACTCACAACTTAAGTTATTTATTCTGAATGTTTGTTGTTTTTCTTTGTCAAATCAAAATACTTGAAGTAATTACTAGCATTCTTTACTTACAAATGGACTTAACAAATTTTGGTTGAGTTGAAGCCATCAATGTGATTGAAATGGCCAAACAAATATCTGAAAAAGAATCTAAATTTTGGTAATCCACCCCCCCCCCCCCCCCCGCTCTAAAAAGCATATACCATGATTGGATAATTGTATACTATTCCTACCAATTTCTAGAAAAAGCTAAAAATCAAGTCTTAGCTCTTGCATTTACAATTTTATTGTATTATTTGGCAACTTACACTTTACATTTGAAACCTTCATTTCATGCTATTATAGTGGTTTCCAATAGACTTTAAAGTCCTTCCGGCCCCTTGTGACTGTGAATTGAATGAATAAACAGATGAAATTTCAAGAACCAACAATAGAAGAACGAACATTGTATGGTTCACAGAGACATCGCTCTGATAGTGACATTAAAAAAAAGGGCTCAATACACAACACCAAAAAAGAAAAATAAAACGTGATACAGGAGAAGAGCTACTCAGCCTGAGAACTTCAAGAAGAGGCAAGCAAGAACAGAATCTTGCATAATGCCATAAGATCAAAGTTCACATTTTTCTTTATCACCTATTGAATATCCCCCTAGCAGTTCTAACAAATACATGTACTAAATTTAAAAGTCATGAACAAACTTTCACCAATCAGTTATTGTTTTGTTTGTCCCCTATAAGTTTACAAAATACAGTGATTAACAGCATTAGCCATGAATTGAAGATGTAGAAACTCTTGCAATTGTAGAAACCTGCAATGGAGACTTTGAGTTGAGCCCTGGTGATATCATTCTGGTCGAGTGAACTTCCAAAAATCAGCTAATCTTGGTTCTACGACTCTCCATGTTTGACACATAATGCCGGATATCTTTATCCAATTACATCTGAGCATGAGAATCTCAAGAGAGTGTGCTTTTATAGACCAATCGAGTTGGTCCTAGACTTATTTTTGCTCGATAGTTTCCTTAGATTTTCTTCCTCAAGTTTTTTCCTTAGAGCAGCCTCCTCCTTTTGTCTTTGAATGAGCTCTAACTCCCGAAGTCGCTCTTCCTCTTTTCGCTGTGCCTCAAGAGCCTCTCTCCTTTGAGCCTCTTGTACCCTCCTTCGATTCTCCTCAAGCATTTTGTCCAGCTCCTCTCTCTCTTTTCGTGCCTTTTCCTGTTTAGTTCAGTGTGTTATTATGTGAGAAACATGCCATTGAAAAGTTCAAAGATTTGTATATTTAAACAAAGAACATGAAAATTTTAACCTCGATTAAGTGGGAAGACAAGAAACTATTTTGGAATTGTTAAAATATAAGATTCATAAATGGAGGAAAGCTAGCTGACTCGCTCTCTAAAGTTGAACTAACAAGTAGTTTCAGTGTAGACAGGAAAGTTTGTGGAGTATATCAGGTTCATGTGCCAATGCCTAACCTCTTACAAGAGAAATACTGCTACTAAAGACTAAAGTACAAGCAGAACAAAGAAGAGTTAAACTTTCCCGGCTTCCTTCCTCATCCTAACTAAGAATTAAAATACTTATCTTTTAGCCGTAAATAACATGTTATCTTTCATATAAGATCTCATCAAGATACGATGACAAAAAGAAGTACACAAGCGGAGAATATAATGATTAGTAGATATCAACAATGGGTCAATAACCACCCCAACAGAAACTTACTTCTTTTAGCCTTGCCTCCGTAAGAGCAGCTTGCTTTTCTTTTTCAAGTTGAATTTCAACATCTTCAAACAGTTTTCTATGACCTTCTTCTATTCGCCTCTCTATTTCCAGCTTAACTTCCTCTGAATTTAACTTTTCCTCGACCCTTTTCCTTATTTCTTCCTCCAATCTCTTTGCAGTTTCCTCTTCTAATTGCTTGAGTTCTGCCTCTAGCTGTAGCCTAAAAGTTATTCAATTAGGTCAAAATACAGAGAGCACATGAAATAAAACCATAACTCTTCAACACTTCCACATTTGAATAGAAAAAACAAGTACGTTAAAGCAACAGGCATGCTGCACTATGTATCTTGAAACATAATGGCCTGTAATGCCAAGACATATCACCAATGATCAAGATGTAAGACAAAAATGTACAGCACATTTTTCAGAGGGTTTCAGACCCACAGAAAATCAAGTAATAATCTTCTCTTAATAACCCAACATGCCAAGAGTCTACAGTGGTTGAATACTACACTAAAATCTTCTGGATAAATATGTTAACAACAACAATATTCCAAGTGTATTCCCACAAGTAGGTTTTGGGGAGGATAGTGTGTACACAGCCTTACCCCTACCTTGAGTAGAGAGGCTGTTTCCAATAGACCCTCGGCTCAAGTATAGCATATCAAATATCAAGTATGTATACCAATGTATAAATATGTTAACATGAGCATTAATTTCGTATAAGTACACTCTAGATAACTCTACAATGATATATAAGCACAAAAAACGACGACATAAAAAGATACAGCTACATACACACACGCATATTAGCTTAGTTTACTTACTCTCGACTTCTTTAACTTAAAGACTAGATCAAACCTCCGGAAAGCAACAACTTACAGAAGCTCACTATAGTTGAGTACTTGGGAGTAACTTTAGGACATAGACTAGAGCCAAAGGAACATCATAACAGTATCAATCACATCTAACAAACCTTTTTTTTTCTTCTTCTTCTTTTTTCAATTTTTCAGCAGCACTTTTACGCTCAGTGGATGTAAGACTAGGACTTCGAGACTTAGGTACAGGAGACTCTGAGGAACTGTGACTTCGTCGTCTCCTATGACGCCTAGTCGTCGGGGACCGACTTCTTTTGCGCCTTGTAGCTGGAGAACGGCTCCGACGGCGGTGAGGGGTACCAGAGCGACTCTTTCTCCTGCGAAATATAACAATTGTAACTAAATAGACATGATAATGTGAAGGACGACCAATTTCAACGAAAATCCGCTACTAAAACATGAACTATTCTGTGTGGTTCACTATCACAACCTTCCTGTTATAAAAACATAAAACTTGCTGGATATAGTTTTAAGCAAGTGATTGCCGTGTACAAGGCTACACTTTTAAGTAGAACACACACACTTACACCGTCTGCTGGCATTCCTAATTTGTATTCACACACAATTTCCTTTAAATCAACCTTCTTCTACTATCTATCTCTCAGCCCACCCCTTTGACTACCACAATCAAACCAAACTATCCAAAGTACAAGTAGTAAGCAGAAAGTTAAATACCTGTAAAGACATCGGTTTATATATAGAATATAGCAATTAGGAGATTTCTAGTTGAGATTTGAAACAAACTACTAAATGAAGATAGATTTTTCAGGCTTCATAACAATGCAGCTAAAATTCCAACATTTAAACTAAAAATAGAAAACGAAAAGTGTGTCGGGGGCCAGCTTGTGGGCACTTGACTAATTTCACTAGATACCTGACACCTCCCACCAGCATCAGTTACCATGTAACTCTGTCCACCAAGGCTACAATAAATAAGACCTCATGGTGCTCGACACACATTTCATTGACCACTAAGCCACACCTTTGTTACCGCACTCCATACAGTAAATAAGAAAAATAACAAAAGTTTGAACCTTTTCAACAAAACAGATATGCAAATTCATATAAACTAGCAATAAATCATAAAAAATGCATTTTTCAACAAAAAAGAGATGCAAATTCATGAGTATACGAGCTGGATGACAAAATATTACCTGCTGGAATAGGGTGAGCGGCTTCGGTCACGTCGGCTCCGGCGACTGCTGCGATGACGATTCACCGGGGATCGAGACCGTCGAGAATACGACGGCGACCGGGATATGCTCCGTCCCATTATTACAAACAGTAGGAATTTTGCTCAATTTCTGAGCTATTAACGGGTTGGAGGAGTATTTTTGGGCCCCCGGTTTATTCATTGTTAGGCCCATCATTTGACACAACTATTGGGCTTTTTCACTAATATCCATGGGCCAAATTTTTGTTTACAAACCCATACTCATTACAACAATATTTTCCGTGTGAAATCTGAGGAGGTTAAAATGCACAACCTATAAAGACGTTATTTTTACCTAATGACTTTTGAGGTAGAGTAATTAATCACGTTAGACCTTTGACTTAAGAAAAACGTTTCAAAATATATTTGAAAAATACGAAGTGAAACAAGCTCCAATTATTTACGATAAACCTTCTCTTTTAATCCTTTGAGTTTGATATAATACAAGTTTCTCTAGTCACAATTAGACTACTCCATTATAACTCTATGGATCGATTATATCGTATGTAGTGCTATCTTCCTTTTAGTAAAGTATGTTTCGAAGAGAATTAAGCATTTTCATATGGAAAAAATAGTGTATATTTTAGAAATTTCATATTACTTAGTGACATGCTTTTAAAACAACATATATATGTCATGATATATTGATATTTTTAAAATTTTAATTTCAATAGATTTTCATTCTTCTTCAGACTCTGGTTCACACTCTATCAGCACTGTTATATAAAATAAAACATGTGGAATATTATTAGTGGCGGATTCAAAATGACTTCTATTACTTCGATAAAACTATGACTTCCCCTCAACCTTTTTTGTGTGTGAAAAACAAGTAAACAGAGTTAATCGTGCATCTCATGAGCATACTTTTAAGATTCTAATTCTTCCACTCCATTTATGCGTTGAATTTTAAGAGTTATAATTGTTTTCATTCAAATGATAAGCTATCGTTTACTTATAACTATTCAATACTCTTACTAAAAGTTGATCATATTAGAAAGGCGAAATGGTCTGGTGAATCCTTATACTTGTATCAGTTTGTATTCTAAACCCTTCTACTTACACCTTTGTCATCTGAACCCTTAAACTCAATTAAAATGAGACTTTTAAGCCCCTCCAACCATGTGTGTAGCTCACTCTCCTTTATATAATTGACATGTCATATCCACGTCAAATATATTAATGCCACATCATAATTATTTCATAACTATTTTTTAAAATTATTAACCAAAATTATTTAATAAAATGTAAAATAATAACATTTTAGTTTATTATTGGCATTTCTAATTCTCCCTATTTCACGACCAAACATCGCCGGCGTTGTCGCCATTTTTCCGGCGAAATCACATATGCTTACTCCCTCACCCATCTTAATCTCCGCCGCACACCATCACTACTTTTCTTTCCTCCTCCAACCTCCACAGTAACAACAACCTAAACCACCGCAAAATCAGATCTGGCCACCGCACAACTAGATCTGGCCAAGCTTTTCGTAATCCTCACACCCCAAATTGCTTACAAATACAATTTCACACCAACCTATGCCGTGAAACTCGTCGAAATCTACCCATTATAGTTTCTCCCCTTCACATTGTTTCATGACCCAAACCATCGCCGCCGTCGTCATTGTTGCCGGCGAAACCACTCATATTCCTTCCTTTACCTGCCTTCATCTCCACCACACGTCACGACCATTTTCCTTTCCTTCTCCAACCTCACAAAACCAACAGCCAACACACTAGATCTAGCCGAAAAATAGATTTTGGAAAGAAAGAAAAAAAGGGTTGGGCAAGGGATGAATATGGCTGAAAATGAGGTGTAATGGGTGAAGAAGGAGTTTTTTAATTAATGGTTTTAAAAAATTATTATTTTTATAATTTTAAATATATTTTAAGTAAAAATGCTCCTCACTCGCCTTAATAGGCGTGTAGTTACACACTTTTGCCAACTCAGACATCTTACTGTCACATAAGCCTGGTCAACGGTCAGAGGAGTTTGTTAAATTGTGTTTTATTGAGTTGAAGGGCCCAGATGACAAAGGTGTAAGTAGAAGGATTCAAAATACAAACTGATACAAGTATAAGGGTCCACCAGACCATTTCGCCTATTAAAAATCAAGGACAAACAATGAAATTGAATCCACACGTAATGGATTCACAAATCACCAATCATATCATACTAACAAATACTCTTACGAAAAGTTGATCATATTAGAAATCAAGGACAAACAATGAAATTGAATCCACAGTCCACACATAATGGATTCACAAGCCACAAATCATATCATACTAACAATAGTTAGGATTTCCAAAAAAAGATGGGCTATTCATTTATTAAAACACATACATATGTCTAAATTTTGAATCCATCACTTCGCTGTATTCTTTAAAATGATTGAAAAGGACAATATAATAAAAAAGGAACACAAGTCACGGATATGAAAAAGACAATAAAGAGTTAGAAAATGATTTGTATTTAATGTTAATAAATCTTTCGTTGTGGCCATGAATAAAAGTGTGTACGGAATATAAAACATTGCATGAGTAAAACTGTGAAAGAGAGTCCGTGATGCTCCTTTGTCTTTTTATATCCAAAATAAAATAAATTAAAATCATAAGAATATTTGTTAATAAATATTGTACCCTTCACTTCTTGTGCCAAACATGAATTATTTTTGTTGAATGATCTTGTCACATTATTCCCATTATTGTTTAGTTTAAGTTTTCGAGATAAGGAGCGGAGCTATAATATTAGGTGCGTGATTGAATGGATTCAATAAACAAAATAATATTAGGTGCGCGTTTGAATGGATTCAGTAACTTTTGTTTAGATCTCAAAGTAAGTACTTCAATTTTGAGAGTTCACATGCAGACAAATGACAACTAAACACTCCAACTCATTTGAACTGTATCTCATGGACAACTTATGCTGACATGACATAATTTTTTGAGGTGTCTAAATATGCATACTCAAAATTAGAGTGCTTACTTGCCAATTGATGCCAAGTTTGAGTGTATGCTTATGTATTGTGTCTAACTAAAATGACTTATGAGTTATATGACAAGTTCAGAACTCATAAGTTTCAAATCCTGATAATTTGTGTCTACACATCCAAGGCGAAGACACGAACCTCGTCATGGGATCTTATATATATACGATAGAATATTTCGACGAAGGGGATTCAATTGAGCATGGAAAATAAAGAGAAATGACATAAAACATTTCAAGAAAATGGATACTAGTTATTCAAATAGAGAAGGGTAAATATAAAATATACAAGTCCTTTAACAAAATGCACAATTAATATAACATTACAACAAACAACTTTTGTGTATTTTGTACAAGTGACTTGTGAAGTACTTAAAATTAGTTCATCTAATTGAAATGAAGATCTTTTTGAATCCTCCTTGAGAAGTACATCTAATTCTAAGAATTACATAAGAAATGAACCTATAAAGCATGATAAAACAAACCATAATAAGCAAATTCTTCCTTCTACTTTCTTCACCACCATATCCTTCCTCTTTTAGTACTTGTTCACCACTGGCCAAACACATCCCAAACATGTATTGTAAGCACTTTCCAGAACCAGAAAACTCATTAATCAAGAACCCTTCAAAAGGGTACTTAAAAAGGGATACATAATGCATCACAATCCAATAATTTGGTATCTCATTTTTTGAAACAAAGTAACCAGAGAACAATGCACATGATCCCATGATAGCACAAACTAATGAGTTCCCAATGATGAAGTTTGGTACTAAGGCACTACAACACACAACAATTGAGTTTGCTGTGTATAGAATGAGCCAAATTAGTAACAAAAAGTGCATGAATGCCATAAACTGTTTGTTTAAACCAACCATCCAGTATAATGGAGTTGAGAAAAGCAATGCAAGAATCAACAGAAATGGCAAGTAGACAAGGCTGTTGGCTATGACATAAGATGAAACTCTATAACTCCCACAAGATGTTTCTTTCATTAGTATATCCCTTTCTTGTAAGAATATTGGTAATGCTTCTGTTGTACTTGACAAAAGATATGTCAAGATGAATGCAAATAAGCCAACTCTTGCTTGTGCTCCAACTAAATCATCTTCAAGATTGTAAAAAATTGATCCTAAAACAAGTCCTGAGAGTAACATTTGTAGTGTCTTAAAACCAAAAAGCTCCTTTGTTCTGTATATGATTTTCCAAAACCTTATTGTAAGGATCACAATCTCTTGCAAACTTGAATTTGCAAAGCCAACATGGATAGGCATAGGCATAGGCATAGACATAGACATAGACATAGACAAAGAGTCTTCATTTATCAGTTTAGATTCTTGAAAGAGTTGCTGTAAAGTGAACTTACCTGAATTCTTGATCATAAGTGCTGATTGAGGCAACAATGTGTGGTTTTGTTTCTGGATTATGTCAATCGATTCGATGGCGAATTCAAGTATGTTGACATGAAAGGGAAGGTCTAATCCTAATAGGATTAACCTTAAACTAAGCTGTTCAATGGTTCCATGATGCAAGATTGTACCATTAGCCAAAAGTAGGATTGAGTTGAACAACTTCATGATCCTAAAACATGGCTGATGAATACTAAGAATTATCGTTCGATCACGAGTAACAGCCATGGTTTTAAGCATGTCAATGATCTGCAATGCTGAAGTACTGTCAAGACCTGAAGTTGGCTCATCAAGAATCAAGACTCCAGGGTCATGAATCAGTTCAACTCCTATAGAAACTCTCCTCCTTTCACCACCTGAAATCCCTCGAATTCGATCATCACCAATCCTAGCACCAGCAACATGTTCTAAACCAAGTTCTTGAATCAAACACTTAACCCTTGAACTCAATTCTTTAGGAGCAAGTTTTAACCTTAGTTTTGCACTAAAACTTAATGTTTCTTCAACAGTTAACAGAGGAAACAGAGTGTCCTTTTGTGTAACATAGCCTGAAATCTTCTTAAACCTTGCTTTATCAACTGGTTTTTGGTTCACAAAAATAGATCCACTTTGTGGCTCAATCTTTCCTGCTAAAACTTCTAAAAAAGTAGACTTTCCAGCACCACTTGGACCAACAATAGCTAGAATTTCACCTGTTTTTGCTCTACAATTCACATCCTTAAGAACATGCCTTATAGACTTTGGATTATTATTAGTATCACCTTTTTCCAATTCTTGAACTCCTTTTATACACTTGTGGTGTTGTTTTCTGCTAAAAAAACTAAAAGGGGTTTCTCTTTTATGTGTATAGATTGTGTAGTTGATGCCTATTGCTTCAATTTCACAACCTTGTTTCTTCATTGAACAACTTAAACTCACAAATTTGCTTTGTTTCTTTTCTACTTTTTTCTTTTCCAAGTTTCTAAGTTTTGTTTGTACTTTAAACTCTTCTTGATTTCTGCATTTTGGTATATAATACTTTGGCCATGAGATTCAAAAAGTGTTGGAAGTTAGTGGCTAGGAGTTGTCAAATTATAATGACCTCTAGTTTTTCTATAAGAAAATTTTGTTTGATAGTTTCACGTGAAGTTGTTTCTTTGAATATAGGTTCACGTGTCACCATGCATGACAACCTACAATTCCAATTCAATTGGGAGTATAGTGTAGTATACTAGTTGTATATAGTGTATCTTCTATATATCACCAACAACCGTTGCGGTGGAGTGGTAAGCCACTCATTCTTCCTTAATTAAAGACCTCAAATTTAAGTCTGGATATAAAGTCCCGTTCGTTAGAGAATACGAGTTCTGAGTATAGAATTTAAGTCAGGATATAAAGTCCCTTTCGTTAGGAAGTACGAACTCTGAGTATAGAATTTAAGTCTGAATGTAGAGTCTCTTTCGTTAGGGAGTACGAGTTCTGAGTATAGAATTTACCTTCGATATGAAATTTATCTGAATTCAATCGATTCGTAATGTGAGTATCATATAGAAAATTAAAAATATATATGTATCATAGACATGATTGTGGCTTTTATTTTACTTTGCCAAGATAATGTTAGTCTCCTTGCAACTTGCAAGCTCTTTTGTGGCATTTGTTTGTCTTCAATATAACCCGTGATTCTTCCTATGGTGTACAAAGTCAATTGCAACAACAATAATATATCGGTGTAATTTTACCAGAGATCTGAAAAGGGTTATTTTCAATAAATTATCGAGCATATTAATATGAATTAGATACTTTAAAATTAAATTGGAAAAGATTAGAGTATCAAAAAGTAAACTCCTTTCATTAGAAACATATATAGTTCTTCATATCATAACATAATATTCATAAAGATTTATTGGATGATCCACATTAAATATTAGTTACATTACTGCTTTTTGACTTGTTATATTTGGCTGTGCAATCATCATAGCAGCCTCCCATTTTCTTTTCATCTGCAACAAAAACAATAAAACAGAACAAATTTTAATTTTGGATCCATAGTTTAATTTTTTTTAAAACAGTGTTCTTAGTAAAAAAAAAAAAAAGCCTTGTTACTAGGATCGTTTTTTTTATTCAAAAATTATACTGTATATATAAGATCGAAATTATACCTGAGATGGTGTTGGAGCATTGCTCATAACAACTAGTGTTATGAGTCATAGCTTCATAAACACTATGAATTATGCATCTTTTCATGCATACATCATTGCAAAAATCAGGTTGAGAAGAACTTATACATGTAAGTCTGCATAAGCCTTTGCAAGATATTTTACTTATACTAATATTTGCTCCAATAACATTTGCTAAGATAAAAAATATTGTAAATCCAAACACAATTTTGAGATTTTTCATGGTTGTATTTTTATCTTTTTTTATTTGTTAATTTATAGAAAACTTCAAAATGATAATGCTATTTATAAGTCAAGTTTATTCATTGTGCATTTAATAAAAGTTGATAATATTGTCTATATTTACACATATAAGCAAATTTTGCTTACCTGTTAATTTGTCCTTATTTTCTTGCATTCCCACTTGGTCAAAGTCAAAAAATGAATTAAACTTATTTGTCTCTATTAATTCTTAAATTTATTTTTCACTAATTGTGGTGTCCTGACTAGTTTTACCTAATATTTCCTATGTACAATAAAACTTTGGATATTATATATAAAAAAATCAGCTAATTTTTTTATATCGCTGCTACAATTTAAACTTATGCTATCATAGTAAAAACAATACTTCCTCTATCCCTAATTACTTATCAATTTTGACAAATCAAGAAAGGATATTTTTTTTACCTATTATATCCTTAATTAAATGACTAATAACTTTGAAAAATGCATAACTTTTCATCCACTTCATAATTAATAGGGGTAAAATGGTAAACTCACTATATCATTAATTGATTTCTTAATAGGTGTTTCAATTCAAAAGCGGGCAAATAATTAGGGACAAAGGGAGTATATATTATTTCAAGCTAAGCTTAAAAACTTAAATTAACTCAGTCAAAATTAATTAATCCATGCTTAGAAAATAATCAAAATCAAACTGTTTTTTATGGATTAATTAATGTGTGTGTATCACATATGGTTGTACAAAAAGTCAAGATGATTAATGGTAGCTCCTAATTTTACCCCATTCATTAAGGAATTAATGGCTTTTTTACTTGTTCAAACGATAGAAATAATAATTACTCCTTCGGTTCTTTTTTAGTTATCGTGATTTCTTTTTCTATAGTCAAACAATATGAATCTTGACTAACATTTTATAATATATATTTTTTCATTATATTGATATGCAAAAGTTATAATTTATAATACTTTTTATATAATTTTTAAATATCTAAAACTTTAAATTTAAAATATCGAATTAATAAAATCTAATTTAACTTTGAAAATACAGTTTCACATGAATCGCACTTATTTTGCAATGTAAAATTGACAAGTGTAAGTTAATAGAGTAGTTTACAGGAATTCACATCTATCTTTTCTAAATTATATTAAAAGTTTAAAAAGTGAAATAAAATGTGCATGCTTTGCCGTTTGCGATGTAAATTGACAAGTGTAAGTTAATAGAGTAGTTTACAGGAATTCACATCTATCTTTTCCAAATTAAAAGTTTAAAAAGTGAATAAAATGTGCATGCTTTGTTCATCAATTTGTGTTTTTATTTGTTTAATTATAATATATTAATACTTTACTTTTATCTCCATTGCAATATGAGATTTGTTCTAAACGAATAAAATCTCATATTGACAGATTATAAAAATAAGAAATAATGTGTACGATATTGTCAATGGTATGGGGTATTCTGTGAGAAATAGTTGATTTTGGTCCAAAGTAACGAATTTAACACATGTTAAGAATATTTTTGAACAGGCTTAAGTAGCTCGAACAATTGATATTAAAATTGATAATTTGATGAGAGAAGTATGGAAATAGCTACCTAGAGCTAAAAGATGTACACAAAGAAGAAGTCGATATGTGGGCTTTGGTTGCTAATTCATATTCGAATGATACACACAATTAATCTCCAAATAAGCCTATGAATCTTGGTAATGAACTAGTTAATTATTTCATTTCTTAATTAATTTATCTCTAATATATTCAAAAAATAATAATAATAATAATTTGAGACGTTCATGTTGCTTTCAATTTTGATGATGATTGATGTTTCCCCTTACAAGGACTCCTAAACTATTCCAAAAATTGAAAATACAATAAAATAAAATAAAAAACTTATTATCATAACACAATTTCATGCTTTCCTTTTCAAACTACATTTTTTAATTACGTGTATATATTTATATTTGCACACGTAAAATGTAAGTTTCTACTTTTGTGCACATTTCATCATCATCCACTCACTTTCGTTAATTCCACTAATTAAGCTAATCAACGTACGATACTTATCCTAATAGAATTCACTCTTTTAAAAGTCCTTTTTAAAAGAGAATTAAACGAAAAAAATAACAATATAAAGATGTTTAATTAATTTGTAAGTTGAAGTTACTTCAAATTAAAGTTAAAAAAATATATCTACTTTTTGCAAAATATAAAGATTACTAGCCGCGTGTAAACTATTAAGAAACGTTATCCATCCCCCATTTTTTTCATTTTTAATCGACACGTATACCATAAACCTTTTATGAGTAGGTGAGCCTCAACATTTTATCGCGTGATTCAAAATATAAAAAAGTAAACATCTAAAAAAGTTAACGAAATGATATAATTTTATGAAGAAGAAAGTTTGGATGAACTATTTTTGCTCTCTAGCTTCACATATGATATTACAACAAAAATAACTTTTAGCAGTAAAAAATATGCATATTAATAAAGAATGGTAAAGTCTTTATCAACATTAATTAATTGTGATTAGATCCAATGTCGTTATATGTTATAGAAACATTTACAAAAAATGTTAATTACCTCTAAAAATATATTTAGTAATAATTAAATCATTACTATTAATTAATTATCTCTGACCTTCGAGCTCCATGATTTCCAAATTTTGTTATCCATTATCTCTAATCACGATGACTAAATTTCTTTTAACAGTTCGATGCATTAAGTTATTGCTATATACAGATTTGAGGAAGGTCTAGAGTCTAGACTATGAAAGTCTATTATACACAGTCTTATGACTAAATTTCTCTAATAATATTAATTATAATTAGCAGAGCAGCCTTTGAAAACTTAAACGTGTTTTTCTCTAATAATATTAATTAATTAGCGCACACACTCTTCATTTCTAATCAACACCATTTAATTTCATAGTCCATTACGTATATTATTCTTAAATTTTCAAAGAAAATTAAAACACAAAATATATATCTATAATTAAAAAGAATTTAAGTTATATAATTTGTCAGTTTAAAAAATTTCTTACACCATCACATCATATTTACTTATCGTAGTATATCATCATCTTATTTTTAAAATTACAAATTTCATGACTATTTAAACATAAATATTAATAAATTTTTACACTGATTGACGATATATATAACTTAGTAGAGGATAGAGATAGAGTATGAGTAGCGTGGGGTTTATGTTACTAGTATACTCTTTTTTTCATCTATATAAAGAAAAAAAGAAAAACAACATTTGTCAACTCTTCTTTAATTATTTATATCATCAAATTATTACTCCCAAACTAACCCTAATTACAAGACAACCTAGTTGTTATCCATAAGAAGAAGAGGAAGCTATATTATATAATATAGTTGATCATATTTAATTTGGATAATTAATGATGATGGATGATCAAAGGGTTGGTGATCTTCCTCCAGGATTTAGTTTTGATCCAACTGATGAAGAGCTTGTTTTGTATTATCTCAAAAGCAAAATAGCTGCAAATTTATCCTTCAATATTCCTCATCTCCATTTTTCTTCTTCTGACCCTTCCCAACTCAATGGTATGTGTTTTTTGAGTAACTGATAAAGTTATTGAGTAACTGATAAAGTTATTGTCATGTGATTAATAGAGTCGTTGTTTCAATCTGTGTAAATAGTCTCTTGCAGAAATGCAGGTTAAGGTTGAGTACAGTTGACCATGTGGTTTAGCTCTTTTTCAAATCGCGCTTAGCGAGAGCTTAGTCCAACAATCTTTTTAATGACAAAATTAAAAATTGTTCTTATCAATATTACTATAAAAAATAAAAATTGATTCACCCCACTTAAGTTATACTTAATATATGTATATATTCTTGTGGGAAGTTCGAATTTATTGTTGAATTTGAATTTCGTTGTTTTGTCAATTCCAACAGTGTTAACGAAGTGAGAGATTTAAATCTCTTAAGGACAGTATATACGATAAAATTGAGTTAATTATTTCTTATCGGACCATATATTATGCCAAGTTTTCTAATAGTATTTTTGTATGTTTGGTTGATTAATAGAAAGGGCTTTGTGGAGCAAAAATCAATGGTATTTTTTCAGCCAAGTGAAGGAAAATAATAATCGAGCTACAGGAAGAGGATATTGGAAGGAATTAAATATGAATGAGCCAATTATACTTAAAAATTGTGGTGAAAAAGAAAAAATAATAGGAATAAAGAAATATTTTGTGTACTATATTACTACTAATATTCATGAACAAGTACAAACCAATTGGATTATGGAAGAATTTCACCTCAAGAGAGAAAATGAGAAGCTATTGGTAAGGAAATATTACTTTAATTCATTCTTTATCTTATAGGATTTATTTAATTCAAATTTCAAATTATTTATCTATGTCGTTCAGATTCTTCAAAAATCTCTTTCCGTGCATGTTGAATCTGACACAAATATGATCACACAATACTTTTGAAGAATCAGAACAACATATAGATCGTAATTTATTTTTTTATTTAGACATTGTAAAAAAAAGTTTTACATTATCAGTATTATTATATTTGTCGGTTACATGTTCATATTCCTATATAATTTTGGGATCGTAAAAATTATTTACGCGGTCGGTAAATAAAAGTTATTTGAAATTTCATATCAAATGTTGAATAATTGGAAGTTACTTATGTTTCAAAAAATTTAACAATCAAAATTTCCCTTAATTAGCTCATTAATCTTAAATTTGAAATGAAAATAAACACTTTTACTTGTATATAGCATATTATAAAACCACCTCTTTTGAAATTCTTAATTATTTTATATTTATTTTCAAATTTTTATTTTAATTTTTTTATAATTTTCAGGAATGGGTTGTATGTAGAGTACATGAATCAAAGAACAATTCTGAAGGGATAACTTGTGATGATAATAATGAAATTGAGCTCTCAGCTTTGGATGAAGTTTTTTTATCATTGGATGATGATCAAGAACAAGAGGAAATAAGTTTTCCATACTAATTAGAAGCTTAAAAAAAAAAGTCAGTTTGATATACTAAATTTTTGTTATACGTTTCGAAAAGAATCGAACCACAAAGATTTATTAGAAGCAAATTATAATATATTAATTTTATGGTGTGACTATATCATATATATGAGAGATCTCTCATATAAATACACTTTAAAATAAATATGTGTAGATATAAAATTAATATAAATGTAATGATTTTAACATATATATGGTCTTTCATATAATTATACTTTTGAGTACACATATATTTGTATGCATATTTATGCAATATCATAGTGTGAGTCTCTCATATAAAATTATATACGTATATGTGTATATACATTGATTTTGAATATATGAAAATCAATTAGAATATGTTATAAAGAATGTATTTTCTTTAATCGAATCAGTAAATTTTCAATATCAGACGATAAAAAAAATAACTCTAGATACGTGGGAAAATGGTTAATGAACTTCTTTTAATTTCAGATTTAGTGAATTTTAAATTTCACCATATTGGATGGAAACAAAAAAAAAGTGTTCACATGGACATCTGTATTTCTTGTGAGTTGTGACTATAATAATAAAATAATTAATTTTATATACATAAAAAAAAATCATCCAACGATCTAATTATCAATTCCTATTGAGATTTACTAAATTTAATTATATTTTTGTAATTAATTAATCTGAGTGTCCTGTCGTGTACACGAGTACAAAATCAAAATGTCTTTATTGATTCTAGTTATCTTTCTAAATTTGACAATTTAAACATATTAATTGGCCATTTAGTAAAAAATAGTACTTACCTACCCTAACCATCAAACGATTGGTACAGTGAATGAAGCTGCTTCTACCTTAATCAGAAGGTCTCGGATTCAAGTCCCGATAGGAAGTGCTTTCCTTAATGACGGATAAAAAATTAAAAAAAATAAAAATACTTACGTGCTAACCAATAGCAACAAGTTATATATATTACATTGATACAATAAAAAAAAATTATATAATGTTCAGGTATATAACTTAAATATGTTGTTCCACCTCTTATTAAAATCTTATGAATTTATAGCATATCAAAATTTTATTTAAAAAAAATAAAATGAAATTTGTATTTTTTTTTTACCGTTGACTATATTTGAAGCAAAATGGAGGGGCACAACGCAGGAAACAAGTAATTGCTACGATCTACTTCTTATCCATGTGGAAATTAATGACTATTATAGTAAAATAATATTTCCATTATAATAAGTTTAATTTCATTTTGCTCCCTAAACAAATGAATTATGATTCCTTTATCCCTCTTGTAATATTTACATTGATACTTAACTCCTATAAGATCATACTTTAACATAAACATGACCCAATCATGATTTGTTTCAATGTAAAGACCTTAAATCCATTAATTATCCTTCCAACTAATAAGTACTATAAATATTTAATTACTTCACTTTTCTAGTCTTGTAGTATGTAATTATGTCGTAGTTGAGTGTTTTTGTCTAATTGCTCCATAAACATAATACAATGTCTGACTCTCATTTGGCTCATGAGTTCAGTTGCTTTTGGTTTAATATGCATGGTATTGATAGCAATAACAATTTTTCCAATTTGTCGGACCTCGATTATAAATTCTCATTGACCACAATCAGGAAAAAAATATTATAGATATATGATAGAAAAGAGAAGTGAATACTTTCTTTTTTGCCATTTTTTGTTTGTACAATGTTAATCAACCTATTCGTACTCGAATATTTCTTAGACACATGAGTTAAGTCACAATTCATTGATGTCAGGTAGAAAGTTTAAAATAAAGAGTTACTATTAGAAGAAAAAAAAGACATTGTTTTTAAAATTAATTGAAATGGATGTAGTATCTATTTTCTACTGAACTCGTAAGTAGACTTGTAGCTCCGCTCCTGACCTCACGGTTATATATGATGATAAGAATTAGTTGAGGAGGGAAAGTGTAATTTGTTTCAAACTTGTAAGGTGTCAAAGTGGAATAAGATGAATAATAATTTTGTCATATTATGGAAGATCATATCCTATTTTTAAGCAAATATATGGAGGAGCTCTTTGTTTTTCATACGCTAAAACCACTCTCTTGACATTTTCATCTCTTCCAAAAATCCATCAAAAAAAAATTCCCTTTTTTAAAATCATACATACATAAAAAATAAAAAAAAGTGGCACAATGTCTCTGTTGTTGTCAAAATCAAGAAAATTGATCTGTTTGAAACCCAAGATTGGATTTTTATCTTCTGTTTATCATCATCATACACTTATATCACCAAATCTGAGAACCCCATTTCGAATTCTTGGGTTAAATCAACCCCATTTTGCCTCTTTTCGTTTTGAATCAACCAAAGCTCAAACACAGTTAAATCCCATGCACAGCATTCATAATGATTCCCAGGTTTGGGTTTTATTCTGTTTTTACTAATGTGTATATCTTACTTGCTTAAAGTTTCCTTTTTTTTCAGCTTTGATTTATAATGTTTGGACTATTCTCTGTTCTAAAAGCTTGATTATTTACTTAGTTGTTGTCTTCAACATGCCCTTCATGTGCACACTTTTTGGTAATAATAAGTGATGGTTTAGACTCAAAGTCGCGAACTTTATCTGCTCTAATACCATGTTAAATTGTATAGTGACGTAGCTACGTAGAATAAAAGGTGGTCTATTGTGTGACTATGTTAGAGAAAACACACTTATTATTACTTAATTAAGTACTTGTTTGTTATTAGCTTTTTGTATGTGGATGTGGTGGGAGTATGTATATCTAACTGAAAACTGTTGCTGCTAGAGGTTCAGTTTAAGTTGTAACACTGAAATCTTTTGTTTCTAATAATAGTAACAGTATAAGGTTTGTTATAGTGCTAGCTGTATTGGCTTCTTTTGAAAAAGAAACTCTGTTTTGGAAGATTTTTTCCATCTGAGAAGGTTTTTTTGGATAACTGTTGCAGCTAACCTCAAGAAATGGAAAAAAAGTGTTGAGAAAATGTCTGTCTGAATGATAAAAGTTTATATTATCCACTTTCAGAAATGTATTAGAAGTGTGTCCCTTCACATTTAGCTCCTTTTATAGAAACAAAAAAAAAACATGATGTCAGGGCCAGTTTGTACGCACTTCGGCTAATTTTACGAGTTACCTACTATCTCCCACTAGTGCAAGTATTGGATAACTCTGTCCACTGGGGCTTGAACAGATGGGAAAAAATCACCTAATGTTTTTACCTCTGCTAGTATTTGAACCTATGCCCTTGTGGTTCTGGGGAAAATAAATCTCACATGTATATGGGTCCTCTATAGGTGTTAACAGGTATACTTGCAGGAAAAAAATAGGATCTTTACCAGTTATTTTGTAAGTTTTAGCATATATTCTACTTTGAGTATGCATGACCATAAACTTTCCTCTTGATGTTAGGTCCTCGATTTCCCTGGAGGCGAGGTCAAATTCACCTCACATTTGAACTTTATACCTGAAACAAGGGAGGAGAGAGTACACTGTTACCGGGTCCTTGACGACGATGGTTACCCAATCACTAGCGATTTTGCACAGGTAATCCAAATATACATTTTGTTGTTGATGCTTGTATCAGGATAGGTTGTCTACATCGCTGCCCTCTTGGGTGCGTCCCTTCCTAGAGCCCATATTTAACGTGCACTGGGCTACCCCTTTAATCTAATAGACATTTAAGCAGCTTAAACTTTGCATCAAGATTCAACAGATGAATTTTTATTGGGTATTCATCTTGGTCAGATTGAAAAGGAAGTTGCATTGAAAATATATACTGATATGGTCTCACTTCAAACAATGGATACAATCTTTTATGAAGCACAAAGACAAGGACGAATATCTTTCTATCTTACCACAGTTGGAGAAGAAGCTATCAACATTGCATCAGCTGCTGCACTTAAGACAGACGATTTCATCTTTCCACAGGTTAGTCGTGCACATAAATTCCCTTCTAATCTGTGAAAGTCACATTTTGTTGAACTAAAGATGCAAAAATTTGGATAGGAAATATATGAAGATCTACAATACACCTTCCAAACCGACCTTCTTCCCAACGAAATAATACCTTTTAGTGAAAACAGAAAGAAGCGTGAGTATTGGCGTTTGGCCTTTAGGTGTTACCAAATGTTGATTAAAACAGGAGCTATTGAATTATCTAAAGGAAATTTGTTGATTACTTCAGTTCCATCGAGTGAGTAGGGAGGTAATTTGAATTGTTTCTAGAAATTACACTAGTCACGAAGCGGCTGCATCTCTGCCAATATTCTATGCTCTGATAAGGCTGGATACACTGTACTCTCCATTTCCAGTTCAAGAGGAAGGGAACATATCATTTTTATCTGATATGCATCATGTCCATTAGGTTTCTTTGAAATGATTTGAATCTAGTGTTGTGTGTCCTTTTATTAATATTCTAGCTTTCTTCTTCTAGTATAAATCCTCAAACTTACTTTCTCCAACATTAGTGGAAGTTTATGAGGCAAATTCTAGGAAGATTGGATAGATGTAACTTTATCCTCAGATCACCTGTCTCCACCATAGGCGTATTTGGTTAAGATTTTTAGTTTCAGACCAACGGTGATAAGCAAATGCTGAGGTTCACTTGTCCAATGATTTGCCCTGTAATGTCAATGTTTTTCTTTTTTGTCGTTGCAGTATAGGGAGTCCGGAGTTCTATTATGGAGAGGGTTTACCATTCAAGAATTTGCCAATCAGTTGTTTGGAAACAAACACGATTATGGAAAAGGCAGGCAGATGCCTATCCATTATGGATCTAATAAGCACAATTATATTACTGTTGCATCAACAGTAGCGTAAGATACTCATGCTTTTGTACTGATACTTCTATTTTGATGTTTTCAAACATCTTTCCAAGGTAATCTTTGATGTAAATAATTGATGAACCGAAGTGGTTATTTTGCTTCAGTACTCAGCTTCCACATGCTGTTGGTGCTGCCTATGCTCTAAAGATGGACGCGAAAAATGCATGTACAATTGTATATTTTGGAGATGGAGGCTCTAGTACGGTATGTGTTTCAACTAACTTGTGGATAATGAACTTTTTAAAAAATTCATCTAACTAGGTTCCTCAAACCTCAACCATACTCAGATTTTCACAGATGGTGTGTTGTGATTTCGTTACTGTTCTTCCTGTTAAATTCATTGATTTCATTTCAGGGAGATTTTCATGCTGCTCTGAACTTTGCCGCGGTGTTAGATGCACCCGTTATCTTTTTCTGCCGGAACAATGGGTTTGCAATAAGTACACCAGTTAGTGACCAGTTTCGAAGTAGGTGCCTCTCTTAGCTGCTCAATTATTTGCTGCTACTGTTATGTAGTTGGCTACTGATGAAGACTGTCTTCTATTTATGGTTACTTAGGTGATGGTGTTGTTACCAAAGGACAGGCCTATGGAATTCGTAGTATTCGTGTGGATGGTAACGATGCTCTTGCTGTTTTCACCGCTGTCCAAGAGGCACGAAAAATGGCTGTTAATGAACGTAAACCTATTCTAGTTGAGGTAAATTGTACACTTGTTTGGACTTGAGGCTTAGTAGACAGCAAGAATCACTTGTCTTTTTCTGTTATAGCTAGTTTTGGAAGTGTTGTTAAGTGCTTCTTTTATGTTCAACAGGCTCTTACTTATAGAGCAGGACATCATTCAACCTCAGATGACTCAACCAAATATCGTCCAGCTAAAGAAATTGAATGGTGGAGAAGAGAAAGAGACCCTGTAAGCAGATTTGGGAAATGGATTGAAAGAGAAGGCTGGTTGAACTCTCAGGTTGAATCCGAACTTCGCAGTAATATCAGGAAGCAGGTAAAGTTTGCTCGTTGTTGCATGAATAGCTTTCTAGAGCAGAAATCTAACGAAGTATTTCCAGATTAGATAAGTTACAGTTAAACTGAGACGGAATTAAATGGAGCAACATGGACCAGTAACAATTTCATATAGCCGGCTCCCACTGTTGGTTTTCTGAAGTCTGCTTTCAATGTTGTGATACAGGTATTGCAAGCCATTCAAGTTGCAGAAAAACAAGAGAAGCCCCCAATTAAGGATGTATTTACAGATGTATATGATGTTTCTCCAGCCAACCTCCAAGAACAAGAAATATCTATTCGTGAAACAATCCGAAAACATCCACAGGATTATCCTACTGATGTTCCTCTCTAGTTGAAACTGCTTGTCTATGATATGAAAATGCAAATTATCAAAAGAGTTAATGTAATTAGCAAAGTTGTTGCATCTCTCTCAAGAGGGACCAATCTTATTCAGAAAATGATTACACAAAGAAATTATTAATTGGTTATCAACGTCTTCGATATGTACAAGTCTTGTCCCAAGAGTCTGATTTGCTATTTAATGTGTGACATTCGTTTATTAATGGTGTTCCAGCATCAGCCAGCATTGCAATTAGGACAAGATCCTGATATACTAGAGTGACAAGACTGGAATCGCCATAAAAAAACATAACAAGAGAACTACATAATGTTTAATCAAAGTTGAGTTGACATAACCAGAGAACTAAAAAATGTTTATCAAAGCTTGAGCTGAGATGACAATCAAAGAGCTAAAGTAATATCAGAAATGTGTAGAAGGAGAAGAACAGGTGAAAATGAGCAGCTGCAAGTACCATTCTGGGAACTACAATAAGATAGCTGCAGTTTATTGTTACTGGTTTGATCATCACAAGGATGAAGCTTTCTCATTCAAAGATTCTTTAACAGCCTTGAGGAGAGCAGGCATCAGCTTTTTATTGGTAACGATTATGCCTTCGTGTAAATCAAGGTATCTTCCCTTGGAGAAGTCCAAAGGGTTTCCTGCAGCATCTGAGACAACACCTCCAGCTTCTGCAAATTAGATGACAAATTTCTTTATGATTAACAAAGAAATCCTAGCTTAACCATTAAATAAGTGGCCAAGAATGATTAAAATACAACGTGTAGCAGAAAAACATAAATCACTTTGGTCCATGCAAAGTAGAAAAGTTGTATCATATATTGGGATTCAAACTTGTCTCCAACCAACAAATCTCATGCACTTAACCTATATAGAGCAGCTAAATTTTTATAAGATGTTCTAATTTAGCACATTCAAAGAAACTCAATTATATGATTTTTGGCAGTTACAAAAACTTGCTCAATAAGATAATGTTGCCAAGTGAGCAAAATGCTTAAAAGGACTTTGAGCATCCATCTAATAATTCTGTGTACAGCATCTCCAAGGGGTGTGATAGATAGATATGGATGATATCTCTGTGCCATTAACTTTAAATGAAATATCAATCATATAGCTGATACGGACTTTTTATGCCCAGATACAAAAAAAAACATAGCTTTCCAGTGCTCAATGGCATGGACTTGCACATTATTGAGAGTTAAGCTTGAATTAAGAGATAAACTTTTCAAGGGTTGATAACTATCTTAATGAAGCCCGAGAGGAAGCTGGATAAAAGGGAGTCCTCAAGTGGCGGGGTATTCGTAGGCAAGGCCAAGAGAAAGCATGGAAACTGATAAAAAGAGCAGGAGAAAGTGGTAGAGTACCATAAAGTGGGCAAGAGGATTCAAACTACACCACAATGAGATCTGCCACTAAAAGGGTGACCTGATCAATCATGTGAACAATGAGTTGGAACTTTGAGAAGGAGACTCTTAACCTTATCTCTCAAGCAAGGGGCAGAAAGTTGTTTATATGCTAGCCACCCTTGTAATGTTGTTCAGGACCTCTAGTGAATTGTATATAATTGCTGTTAGAATAATGTGTTTTTCTAATCAGCCATCTCTTGGAGTTAAAGGTTCTCTCTTCTTTAGTTGAAGGTATTAATACTATAACTTCTTGTTATCATAAAGTACCAGCAGTTGCAAATCAAATTTCTTATGCTCAGCTCTTCGTTGAACGAATAGATTCTCTGAGCATGAATACTGATCCGAGTGAAGCAAAAGTGAAATGTTAATTTAGAAAGCAGAAATCATATTATGGACCTGCAACAACAAGATATCCCGCCGCATGATCCCATATCTTCTCGCGGTAGCCTTTATGAGGAAACCGCAGATATATTGCTCCATCTCCACGGGACAAAGCACCATACTTTGCCTGGCTGTCTATTCGAACTGGGGGGGCTTTTACACCAAGTTTCTGTTTATAGAAGAAGAATAGAGACCTCACTCGCATATGCATTAAGATGGAATGAGAGAAGTTATGCACATTAAGAGAAAACAAAATACAAAAAAGAAACGTTGAAAGAGAACTGATACCTTTGCTATCAAACTAGATAGGTCGTGCAAAGAATGTGCTGCTTCAAAAGATTCAAAAAAAGATGCCTCTTCAGGGTTGTCTAAATCAGTTACATGCACCTGAAGGCAGTAGAGCAACCTATCAGCTGATTAGAGATGCAATTATTGAAGTTGTTAGAGAAAATTACAAAATACTCAGAACATGAACCTTTGTTGGTGTAGAGCCATCAAGAGACTGCATATAAGTTCCAGAACCAACTTGGGCATAAAAAAGGCAACCAACTTTGTCTTGATCATCCTGTAGATTGTGGGAGGCAAGAGAAGATAATGGAAGATTTGGACAGGCTAAGACGCCCAAAACCACCTTCCCTTCATCTAGCAATCCCAATGCAATTGCATATTGGTCTCCCCTCAGAAACCTGGAGAAAGATTAAGACCTTTTGAGAGACTCATAAATATGTTTTGTAAGCACTTTCCTGAAATCAAAGAAGCAAAAGTTACAATGTAGATGTAATAAAGAATTAAACATGAGATAGAGAGTTCTACATCAACCAAAAGGTGGCACATCCTGGTAATTAGTTGAGTTTGACAATAAGCAGTAACGGCATAAATTCCCTGGTTAGTGTAAGCATAGCTTGGCAATATCAATTGTACAAGCAACAGAAATCATGGTAGGGTGAGGCGAGAAGAGAGCTACCACAAACTTAATTCACATTGGTGTCAGCCTGTTTTAAGATAATTTACCAATTTTAATGAGGTTAATCAGTCATATCTCGCAAAAACTGACATGAAAAATCTTATTTCCACTCACCCTTTAGTACCATCAATAGGATCCAACACCCAGTGCTGCCCAGATGGACCCCCTTCAGATCTACCACTATCAATGGCAGCAAGGACATCTTCTTCAGATAATGGGGCAGTACCATATGTTCCATCACTAGCAAGTGTTTCATTGACAAGCTTCATGATACGCTGTAATGTTGCTTTTCCCTCTTCATTACGAAGATCTCCAGAGTCCTAGAGAAACTTAGATTTAGACCTTTAGTTTGATGCAAGAACATACATTTTCCACTGTAGGGAAATGAATATGCAGAGATAAATAAAAAACCGTAAAGCAGAAATGATTTAAGAGAGCAGGAAACACCACATAAAACAGAGGCAGACTGGTAATGACATCGACAAGAATTTCCTAAGATATCAAACCCAGTAAACTTTATTTTGCTATGAGCTCTCTGGGATTTTCCTTTAAGAAATCATCAACTATTAGAACTTAGAAGTACAAAAGCTCACCAAATCAAACATATTAGTTGGTTATGTTTCAGGAGAGGATTAGTTAAAAGACGAGAGCCTTTCAATTGCTTTAATTTCACGAAAATGTCAAAAGATAATACTTTGAGGTTTGTGACCATCTTTCGGCTATCGCATTGATTCACTCGTATTGTGCCCCAGGAAGAATATGCATAACTCCATACATCAACTCATCACTTAGGTTTGAGGCTGTTATGCCCAGAATAAATTGGACTAGTAGAGCTCCTGAGGTGCTATGTGTGATTTCTGACCATGAAGACGCTATGAAGAATTCCAAGAAAAGGCATCTAGAATATGTCCCTTTATTAGCTGAAAGAATTGTTAACATATTTTTGTTATTTTCTTCTTTTTCTTCAAAATGATACCTTGCCTATGCACAAATGTTCTTTCCTAGGTTTCATTTGAATGCTATCTTTATGAATAAACAATGAAGGTAGGCACAACATGGACTAAACAGCTAAGAGTTCAAACATTACCTCCTCAGCCACTAATGAAAATGAAGCAGAACCCAACTCTTTCTGCAAAACAACGCTAACCACGGCCTGTGAGCCTGATAAACTAATGTGAGACATTTTCAAAAGGAGAGAATAAATTGCAAGGCTCCATCAACATGATAACAAACATAAAATGTATATTTGTTTCAGAACATCAGTTTCTTTAATGCAGAAATGAGAAGCATCTTGCTCCATGAGAGAGACAGAGAGGAGGTGGAACATATATAGAGCGAACGGAACGAAATGTCTAAGGAAATAGACTGGTCCCTGCACATGACATTTTTGTTCTCTCTTTTGAAATCTTTACATTAGCATGGAAGCATGTTATATTAATATACCATAATCAGCCACCGTCACAGGAGATTTGTCAGACTTTGATTGAACATCTGCTTGCAACAGTGCTTTTTGGACTTTCTGCAGAAAATACAGGATATGTTAGTTGAACTACATAAAGAAACTGCCAAGTTGAATGAATATGCCAAAATAAATCAATCTGGTTTAAACAAAATATCAAATGAAATAGACATCTTGTTTCTAGTGCAAGAGGGAACACCGCGAACAAGTCCTCCCCCCACCACAAAGAAACTACAAAAAGCATGAAAGCATTTGGAGGCATTGAATGCTAGTAAATTGTACAGTTAGAAAGGTTTCACGATAGGTAATGGTCTGGTAGTAGTTCAAAGACTTAAAGGGCTATAAGGTGAATATCAAAGGCTGTTTCCTTTATGCACAGTTGGTAAGAAGAACAGGAGATGTGACATAAAAAACAAAATAAACCATTCTAGATCCATCTGCGGCATACATTAATCTTTATTACTCAACTCTAATGAGTTGGAAGGATTCCCACTGGGACCTATTCCCTTTCCTAAAACTAATCCAAACCAACCAGAAAAATGAGTCATTTAAATTTCGAACCTTTCATTAGAATGAATCCACCCTTTTCTAGCATGTTAGCATCTCAGATACAAAATCTCCTTGCTGTAAAAGATATTCAAGAAAAACAGAACGAAAAAGATACTGAAAATCTAATGTAAACCACTCCAAGTCCACTAAGTTAATTTCCAAAAAGCCCCGTCGACCTCAACATAGATCAAGTTTAGTGCTTTTCCATTGCAAGCACTTTTATCGGACGTTTATAAATTTCAAGGCTGCTTCTTTAATGTCCTATTTTAGTCTGACTTTTACAAGGCAAATCCCAAAATCTAATGCTTGGGAAGCAGAATCTAGCAGAGACCAAAAAGAGACAGAACATCTAATATAGAAGACTCAAAATCACTAACTTAATTTCTAAATAGCTTCATCAATCACAAAATAGATCAAGTTTAGTGCTTTCCCATTGCAAGAACTTCTGTCAGACATTTTATAAACTTCAAAAAGCTGCTTGTTTAGTTTCCTATTATAGTCATATGGAGTATTTCCCCATTCAAGCATTAGATACAATTGGACTTTTACATGACAAACCCCAAAATCTTATGTACTAGAAACACCCACTCCCTCCCTCCCCCACCTCTTCCCAATCCTAAAACAAAAATAAAGAAGTTTTCACCTTCTTGAAGATAAACTAAAGCCTGTTCACCACCCTCACCATGCTTTTCATCCAATATATTCATCATCAGAACTCTCAATCTCTTATGTATGCAACTAATGACCTAAGATACAAATAATACATTGATAACAATCTCATGACACAACCATCCAGCATATATTTTGAGCTACAAAATTTCATGTTTCATACTACCATATCTGGTGGCTCAACCAGGATTTTCACTGAGGGTGTTCAAAATTCAAAGAAGCCGAAGGGGGCTCAACATCAACTATATAAAAAAAAACTTGTAACCATGTATAAACATGGTAATTTTCAGCCAAAGGGGATTCAGATAAACCCCTCGGACCTACCTGGCCCCGCCCCCTACCATATCAAGGGCAATAAAATCAAGAACAACTCACCACTTTTATAGATAAAGGGCATACTTATCAGAAAGATAGGATCTTTCTCCATTCCACAATCACAATTCACACAAATTAAAACACAAACATGAAAAACAAGCTGAAATAATGAGCAAAGATTTACTTGACAAAGGCGAGCAGCAAGAGAAGCAGCATTCTTGGCAGCATCAAGCTCTTTATCATACGACATTGAAACAGCTCTTAAGGTTGATTTAGATGGTCTTAGAGTGAGACAAAGTGAAAAGGGGAAATGGGGTTTTGTATTTTTTGTTAACAATGGCAGGGTTTTTTGTGTCAAGGAATTTATAGTCCTAGATGATAATGTGAAAGTAGCCATTTCCATTCTTGGAGTTGGTGGCAAAATGGGGTTATTTGCCTTGGCCAATGTGCAAATTTTATTGAAATTAAAAAAAAAAAAAATACATACAAAACTCCACTTATTTTTTCTTGTATAAAATGAAAAAAATATTAGCACAAAGAAGTTGTGCTAATATTATTCTAAGATTCTTAATCTCAAAATTATTGAATTTTTCGTAATTGAGTTTTGGATCTTAAAAAAAAAGTGCAAAAATAGATTGAACAATTAGTTTTTTTAACATTACTTGAGTCGATGGTCTTTCAAAACAATCAATCTTTCTTCGAGAGATAGAGATAAAGTCTACATACACTTTATCATTTACATACTTTGCAGTCTTGCGGGACTATACCGAATATATTGTTGTTATATCCAAATCATTTTAACTTCAACCATATATTATCCCAAAATATATATAAAAGAAAAAAAAAGCATGAGTGGGCTTGCTATGTTTTAGAATGGGTTTGGGCTTGTAACTTTGAAACAACAAGGCCTTAATAGTTGCATCCAAAATGGGCCTAAATAACTATATCCAAATGGTAAAATTTAGGGAAAATTTTCAAAACAACAATATTTTAGCTTTTAATGGGACTCCTTAGCAATAGTTTCATTATTTATTAAAAATGTCATTATTTTAGTTTGTTAAGGGATTAGTTATGTATTTATTTTATTTTGATTAATTTGAAAGAATACAAATAATTAATAACAAAACAGAGAAATCATGGAACAAAAAAATTCAAAAAAGGTAAAAAAGATTTTAAATACAAATCATTTACATTTTGAAAAGAGCATAAATAGCCATCTTTCCGTCGAGCGTTTTTTTGCTTTCTTCTTAAGAACATAAAATTAAAATAATTTAGTTTGTCTTCCGAATCATTCATCTGTTAACTTTCAAAGCTTCTTCAAGTTGAATATGACATATTTTTGAAACCGAATTTTTCAAAATTGACAACTATAAATTTGTCGCATCCAGTGAACAATCGAAAAACAATCAGGTATTTTTTTTTGATGTTTTTATTTGTTTGGATGAGATATTCGTATATGTCGAGTACAAGAGTGTTGTTTTTTTTTCCTGATTGAATATGTGAAATCTTTGTATGCATTGGGATTTATAGCTTTTTTTGGATGTTTTGTATCCAAATTATGATGTATAACGAATGATATTGTTTTTTTTTTTTAGTTTAGTAGCTGTTTTTTCTGTTTGATTGCATACAATAATTGTATCCCATTAAGTTAATATAACTAATCGATCATGAACTATATGTTGAATACAACTATATATGAATACAAAAGTGAGATGAAAATACAAAGTTATAAATACAAAGTGAGATTGAATATAAAGTTGTGAATACAAAAGAAATATTCTCTTTATTTGATATACAAAGTGACTTTGAAAGGTAAAATACAAACTAATGGATCATGAACTATATGTTGAATACAACAATATATGAATACAAAAGTGAGATGAAAACACAAAGTTATAAATACAAAGTGAGATTGAATGTAAAGTTGTGAATACAAAAGAAATTAAATACTCTCTTCACTTGAAATACAAAGTGACTTTGAAAGGTAAAGTAGGCACATAAAATACAAAACTTGTTGGTATACAATTAGGTTGAATACAAAACAAAAGAGAAATACAAACTTGTTCACATATAAATTGAGATTAAAATACAGAATGAATACCCAATAAAATACAAAATTGTTAGCATACAGTTAGGATGAATACAAATTAAGAAGGAAATACAAACATGTTGGTATACTAATTGAGATTGAAATACAATGTAAAAACAAAAAATGTAAAACTTGTTGATATATAGATAAAATGAATACACAAATAAATTGTTGATTCAGACATTGTAGACAGACATATGCTTTCCCCAAATCTATAACCATAAAAGCAAATATAAATGTATTAAAAATCAAACAAAATAAACATATGAATGAATTTGTAGATTCTAATAAATCTGAAATATTAAACGAAATCAAAAAAAAATTGTTTAATCGACTAAAAATCTAAAATACATAAATTTTACATGAATATGTAAACAAACTTGCATAACAATCGAAAAAATTAACGGAAAATTCGTAATATGTACAATGCGAAATATAAATCATAAACGGTGATATTGAAAATAAATCAAAAGAAATCTAAATAACTAATTGAAATACATAAATATTAGATGAATATGTTGCATAAAAATCGAAAAAATTGACGGAAAATCCGTAATATGTACAATGTGAAATATAAACCATAAACGGTGATATTGAATACAAATCAAAAGAAATCAAAATAACTAATCAAAATTGATAATGGAAATTACCTTGCCAACCGAGAGATCTGCTTGAATTAATAAAGAGATTTCGTTTAACAATAAAGAAAATTTCTTGATGAACAATAATTTAGCACCTTGAAGAAAGATAAACTTGAAACGTGAAAGGTGGGGAAGAAACGTGTATGGTGATGAAAAAAAGTTAATGGTATATAATTTGGTCAAATATAGGACTCTTTCCATAAATAAAATTAATTTAAAATACTAAAATCTGAATATATATTATTTTATAAAAATATTGTTATTCTGCCATTTTAAATAAATATTTTAAAGTGTTGTTATTTTGACTAATTATGTTAGATATTATGACTTAATTGCTGATATAAATTTCAAACAAAAATTATTATTATTATTACTGCTAATATTTAAAAGCATTTTTGGTTGTATTAGGAAGGGAATCTAAATATCTAACTCCTTGACTATTTTTCTTACATCAGTAGAATTAAATAATTTTAAATCCAAATAAGTCATAAAACAACACTTTTACTCGTAAAACAAGGAGTTATTCCTGCTTTTCTGTCCCACATAAATATTAAAGAATAATATTTATTAATTTCTAAGTTGAAGCCTAACATTATGCTGATCAAGTTCTTAAATTATACAAAAATATATTATTTCTTGTCCCATAATTAATCCCATAGATCTTAGGGCTAAATATAAATTGTTTTTTTTTTCACTACAATTCCCTAGGCATCTTTGTGATCATATTATTCTATCCTAATTTTTTAATAAATAATGAAATTGTTGCTTAATTATTTATGTATCACCAAACGTTCTATTAGTTCAATCTGTTTTTTTTTTTTCTATATTAACTTTACTTTATCTAATTTTATAAGTTGAATTTGAAACTTTTTAAGTGGCAGACAAAGCTGTACCCAAAACACACAAAATTTCTCTAAATGTTAAATATAGTACATTTCTTTTCTTAGTTCTGTTATATATTTGACTTTTTGCCCTTTATTGTATACTTAGTAAATTTGTTCCCGCTTCGTACGGTGGTGAACTACGTCAACAATTTACTTTTGAATATTTGATAATATAAGTATTTTTGAATGGGTAAAGCCCTAGATAAATTGTCAAGAATATTTTATCCAAAAATGAAATGAAATATTTTTTAAATCTTAAAATAAAAAAAAATTGATTCTAATTATTTATGCATTTTGTTATTAATTCTTAATTTTACTCTAGTTCTTCATCACCAAATTCTTTAGAAAAGATATGTAGTTGTTTCATTGTCTCTATTTGTATTTTCAAAAAGTGGTACAAACATTGTATTAATCAATTGTGAGAGTTTTTTTCCTATTCAACGCCTCTACATGCAGAATCTAAATGTTATACATCTTATGTAATTAGTTGTGTACTTGATAAGTTAATTAAAATATAAAAACACATCTCTCGGAGTTCAATGAAATAACGTATGTCGCTCAAATAATTTGGATTAAATGATGTCTTGGCAAGTCCCTTATTCAAAATCATTCGCAATCGATGACACTACTTTGATAGCCAAAAGACATATTTTGTTGTTTATGTTTCGATCAATATGGTTTAAACTTTAATTTTTTGCGATTTTTAATCTAATGTTTATAAGGAGATAATTATTTCTTTAAGATTTGATTAATATGGACTCATCCTGCTTTGAGGGGTAATTCATTGACTCCAATCCGAAATTGGAACCCCAAACTTTTGATTAAGGTTGAGTACAATACTTACCATCTCACTACATTCCTTTTTTTATGTCACTAATCGATTGAATACCTCGAGAAGATAGAAAGTTGAATAACTAAAACTCCAAAGTAGTGTGGAACCACAACTTTTGAACACTCAAAAGTCCCTTCTTGAACATCTCATGGATCTTTTAGCCACATAAAATATAAAGATCAAAAGTCATTCATTTCAAATGTTTAAGAATTCTAATCTACATGACACCAATAGTCTAATGATTACATTAAACTCTTTATTAACATATCTTTACTTCCACATAATGGTAAAAAACATAAGCATAAACAACAAAGTTTAAAACATGTACTAAAAACAACAATAAATAACATAAGCATAAATTAATGACTGCAAAAAAATATACCAGGATCTGTAACAATCGAATGAAACAAAAAGAAAAAAATGGAGCTCACTAAATTCACATTGTCCCCATAAGTAAATTATTCCCCTCTAGTACTAGAGTTTTAAAGGAATAGATCCTCTCGGGATAGAACGATTCTATTCACCAGTGTATCGATACAAAACAATGGTGTCAGTGAGCCACTCAACATGAGCAAATTACAGGAATATTTAATTGTGCAGAAGAAGAAGAAAATGTTCAGAATTTTCGTTGTTTTAAAATGAAAGGAAATTCCTCTATTTATAGACAACAAAGGGTAGTGTGAACAAATATTTATTGTGTCTTATCAGAAAGGTCACAACTTTTCGGAAAAGTCACATCTTTCATAAAAGATGAAAAGTTGTAACTCTTCATAAAAGTCACAATTTTTTTTATAAAAGTCACAACTTTTCATGAAAAAAAAGGCTAATTTTGAAAATAAATAAATTAAAAGGGAATCTTAATTTGTGATAGCGTCACGTAGGCAGGCCTAGAATTCTCTTTTATATATATATATATATGATATGATTGTACGTATTCTTATTTTTCCCTTCTTTATATGT